TATCCAAGGCAGATTACATTATTTGTCATTGATTCATGCCGCAGGTATTATCTAACAAATGGGTTGGGGATTATTTTTGGGTGCACGTTGAACAAATAGCAATCGGTAAGATTAAGTTATAGCCAGCGCTGATGCTCTGCGTAAAAGCCATGGCGTGTGTGTGTCTGTGTGTGTGCGTGTGTGTGTGTGTTGCTTCTCAGAGCAGGTGGCTGTGCTGTTGGAGCAGACACCTGGCCTCCGCCTTTTGAATGGCAGGTGGGGAAGTCACTGCAGGGCACATCTGGAGGGTGCAGGGAGAGACACAAATAGTGTGTAGTAGTCTCTCTGAGCTTTTGATGCACCAGACTGAGACTCTGAAAGCTCTGATGTGATCATGGGCCATGGTAAGTTCGTTTTTGCACCCTCTTTACTGTACACATAGCTTCTAAATGCTTGGAACATGGCAATGAAAGCCAAATTATGTGGTCTGATTTATTTTTAGTCACAAAAGCCTGAGGACACATGCATCCTCACACTTACTCACAGCAGGGCAGCTCTCACCTTCAATCTGGGCTGTTTTGACAACCTCAGAGTTCTTCTGAGACCTTGAACTGCAGTTCAAGCAAAAACAGTGGCCTTGAAATGCATCCCCACTGCTTTTTGGGGAGAAAAAAGGGGATGGCTTGGGATGATTTGTGAGGAAAAAGGCAGAAAAAAACTAACAAGGTCCATAAAGCACCTTATGACTGTACTGACTACTTTCACTTGGGAACTTAAATGGACTTTGTTTAATGTACAACATATGCCGCATGCTTGTTTAAAAGAATAATTTTTATTTTATTTTTATGAATCCAGTACATGTTACCATATTCAATATAGCGCAGTGAAGTTTGGCTTACCTGGTTAGTAACATTTTTTAACAGAACTCTCCCAGCTCCCTCAGACTGGCTTTGCTGCAACAATCCGTAAGTTATGCCGTTCACAGTCAAACTGAGGTCTTGGCTTTGAATGGGTCTTTCCAAAACGTTCAAGCTTTTCCACTTAAACCACCTAAATATCGGCTTAGCTTTATGGTTAGAATCACTGTCATTCTGAACGGTGAACCTCTGTCCAAGTTTCAATTCACAGGAAGTCTAAGACAGTTTTTTCCTAAAAAATTTGCCTGGATTTAGAACGAGGCATCATTCCTTAAATGCCTTCTCATGATGCCCAAACCGGCTTTTCTGTTTTTCTTTTTCAAGTATTTGGCAACTGACTTTTATATGAATATGATCTCTGTGGAATGAATGAGTGGTGATGTGGGCAGACAGTCATGTCTGTTATGGAGCTTTGAAGCTCCTTCAGGGTGACTTTTGACCTCTTTAATTTGTGTCAAAGTGAGGGCAGAAGAGCTCCTGGTACCACTCCTCTACAAGGCTTAATTTATTCGTATCTGTTTCTGATCAAAACAAATGTTTTTGCTTCTTTTTGTACATGCTGTCGAAAACTTCTTACGCACAATCACACATTATATTAGACATCTACACATCCACTGCACAAAACCCTCTGGTGAAAACGGATAAATCTGAGAAGCCTGACTACATTTATTTACCCAGCTTCACAAAGTCTGCTCAGGGATTGTATATGATATTCAAACTCACTGAATAAAAAGAAACTCAAGCCCACTTACTACCCTTGACACAAAAAGACTTATAAGGGTCTGTTTGCATTTCAGAGCCACCCAGGTGCCTTTTGTAAAGCTGTAGTGTACTTGATGCTGAGTTGAAGAGGTGTCATATTTGGAGGTACTTAAGCATGTGCTGTTTTGTTGTCTGTTCAAAGCCATGTACTTCAAAAAAAGCAAGGCTTATTAAGTAGAGCTAAAGTTGCTAGGACACCTGTAGATTATCGCGGATATGTCAAAATCTCTTTTCTGTGCCGCAAATAATTTCAAGGATGCCTGAGAGTTATGCTTCTCTTAGATCCTGTGAGTTTTGAACAGGTGCGTTGCAAAGACTCACACATCTTGAACCAGAAATGGAGAGCAAATTTGAGTTATCTTTAATGTTTATTATGTACCTCTGTGTCTTAACACGCAAAGCAAGTTTTTGTTTTTCTGTTTTTAATCTAGAAGGACTGCCACATTTTGTCCTGGCCTACGTCGAGGTTTTAATGACACTTATTTTTACCTCTGTTAAGATAAGGACCTTCCCTGCAATCAAGCAGTTTAAATGTGATCTATTTATTCCAAAAGCACAACAGGTGTCAATTGTCGAGCAGAAAGCACCTGCGTGACGACTGTCTCAGCACTCCCTTGTTGCCAGATGAAGAAAAAAAGCTATCCCGGTGAGGCAGAGTGAGGCTCTGAACATGAGATCAATGGAGTATATTTAAAAGGCATTAGAGAGCAGTCCTGGTGTCACATTTGTGTGATAAAGTACAGGAACCAAGCCTTGCAGCATACAGTACCACATTTCTATGAAGGCGATCCTCAAGTGTCCTTCCTCCTGTTCTTAATCTCCAAGTCTAGATAAAGTATGTCTAAGTATGGCTTTGGGTCGTCCGACCCGACACCAGCTTCCCCCCAGCGGCCTGGGAAATGTCAAGGGGTGAGGGCAGAGGAGAATGGATAGCTGCCGGCCCCAGAGTCCCTCATTCACACTCTAACTTGCTCACATTAAAGCTAGCTCTAATCACTGCAGGGACTTGGCCAGTGATGTGCTTATCAAACGGCATATTTCAAAAAGGCATCTTAAAAGGCCCGAGGGCGAAGAGGCAATAAGAGCACATTTGTATGTGGATGAAAGGGAAAAGTGTAGACAGACCTTGCATCAGAATACAGCGGGGGGAGATCATTAGCATCTCCAGCAAAATATGCACTACCAGAGAGGGAGATTGAGGTACAGTCAGAGAGGGGGGGAGAGGGAGAGAGGCGGCAGTGGGAGAAAGAAGAGTTATTTTCGCCATTCGTTCTTTTTTGTTTTACACAGTTCCCAAAAAGAATACGAGAACAAATACATTTTTGAACAAAGGCATGGCTCTTGAAGTGGAAGCCTGTTGGGGGTGCGAGGTGGCTCCATTGTGGGTTACAAAAGACTGAACCCACACCGCTTCTGCTCCCCCAAATCCTCTTACACTCTGCTCACACCTCCCCAAACACAACATACCCAGCGCCAGAGCTTTTATAAGTGAGGAAGAGCCTTGAATCAAATGATGTGATGGGCTACACAATTCCCTAATATCTTCAATGACACTGGCTGACGGTCATTTGAGCATTTTGGTCACAGACTGTGACAACAACAGGCCACGGCCCCTCCTGTGTGACCAGCACCGCTTGAAATAGTGTCTGTTAACAATGAAAAAGGGCTGAGAAAAGCACACTGTGGTTTTCGCATCGAGACTTTCCAAAAAGTGTGGCAATATGAGAAAGTTGTGATGCAAAAAGCTGCTGAATCGCTCTTTATTTGCTGCCAGACATTGAAATAACGCCATAAACAATGACAGGACAAAACGTATTTCAGCATTTTTTTCAAAGCCACACATAGAGTTTCAAGCTTTCCCCAAAAAAGCTTCATATGCGTCTGAGAGAGAAACATCATAATTTAAACATCAAGATGATTTATCTAACCACAGAGCTGATTTGTGTTTGTGTGATGCACTCCAATCTATGAGCGCACTTCCAAGTATTTTTAAAACGGCAGCAGTGGTGTAGATGGCAAAGAGGAAAAACGAACTAATGCTGCTTTGTGTTATCTTTATTTTTTAGCTATGTGGGTTATATGTTCAAGCTGATGCACACATGAACACATACAGTGTCCCCTGTTGTGAGGATGTACTCTCTTTTAGGCTCAGTTCTAAGAAAACAGAGAAGAACAAAGCATTATAATCCTGCAAATTTTTCTCGTTTATATCGGAAGCATGCGTGCACATCTCCTCTTCTTTGCGTCAGTAGCAGGCTGTGTTCATGGCAAAGAGATGCCTGCATACATGCAATGGCAAACGCGCACACTCTGATATAAACACACACAAATCATCAGACCCAATTTGGATGTTCAGGATCAGGAGACCAATTATTGTAATTATTCTCCCTTTCCCTCCATTACTCTCATCTACATGTTTTCCTGCTTTCTATTTTAGCAGTGTTTGCATTTGTGAGTGTTTTGGTTTGTGCGTTTCACAACACAAAACCACTCTTAAGCTCACAAAAAAGAGACTTTCCCTGTTGTATTTCCATGCTCAAACATGGAGCAGAAGTTCCTTGCCCCAGCTATTGGGAACAGTGGGAGATGAATAATGATGGGGGCAATGATGCTTTGATACTCTGCTGGGAAAACCAAAAGGAACGGAACTTAAATCTTCAGGCTCGTCCGTCCTGCGGCTCCCATGCTGCTGTTCATGTACGTGTATAGAGAGGGACGAGTTACAACTTGCTCACTATAAGGTGACACCATCTTGCCGACCATTTGCGGAAAAGAGGGCAATTATGAAATGGAGTTCACCTGCACACCATGAAAATAACATAAGTTCTGTGACAGCATAAAGAGGCACAAATGTGGTTGCAATTTTACTGAGATCAAATCGCTGGAAGTGTGTTTTTTTCAACTATAAGGGCCGCTATCTTTAAAATCTGAAATAACATGGAAATTTAAAGAAGCAGAATATCTTCAAGGGCATGTTGGATCTAGATAAGAATTCCTCATCTTCAGTGTTTATAGGCATGGGAGTCATGCGTTAGTGTTATAATTAATGAATGATTTCTTCGAAAGAAATAAAAACTTAAATAAGCTGTTTCATTCATATCAAGCTGTGCATGTTTCCTTTTTAATCAAAGCTTTCTGTGATATGCACTTGTGGTTAAAAAAGAAAAAAACACTGATAATCTCTTCAGAATTTACATGTAAATTGATGGAATATGAGATGCTCATGTGTGACAAACTCAGTGATGGGATGTAATCTGATGATTGTATCCGTCAAACTGTCTGAAGTAGCAAAAGAGACATTTGCAAAAACAAGAGTCAAACAATAAAGCATGAAAGCAAAGCTCCATATATATAGATATTCATGTTTTATTTATATTTCATTTCTGGGAGGATATCTTGTACACCAAATATCCCATTGGCAGTTAAGCGCATTCAATGTGTTTGGAAGCCAGAAAACAGTCACTTGTTTTAACAAACACAAATACAAAATTAAGATAACCACAAAATAATGAACTGCATGTATATAACATACAAAAGAATCCCATGCCTACTCAGTAGGTAACTTCAACATTCCAGCTCTTGAAGATGTAGATATTTACATGTAAGTTTTACAAAAATATACTTTATAATGTTTAATCCATTTTTTTTGCTTACATTCTGATAAAATGAAGCGGTGCCCTCATAGTTCGTCCTTTTCCCTCCCTCTGAGTATGTCTTACATTCTGTAACAAAAATATTCCCTCAACCCTTAAGGCGAGATGCGGTGCATCCTCTCTCGCGCTCAGCCAAGTCAAAACATCAGCAAGGCTTCACAAAAGGCACCAAATAACGGGAGCGTTTGTCTTGTTTAGTTTTTTTCAAAATGTTTTTTTTTTCCCCATTTCTCTGTTTTTCCATATAACCAAGCAATTTGTCACATGTGAGAAAGAGAGAAAGAAGATAGTACCGGTGGATGATATTTACAAACAGAAACAAACATCACTCTTACTCATGCTTGAATACTTAAGTGCTTTTTTTTCAAACAATGTCAAAACATATCACAGCATCATCACTACATAATAGAGAAAGTATGTATAAAATATGGCCCTGCTCACTTCAAATAATACAATGCAAATATGCAAATAATTCTTCACATCAGTGGTACCAAAGAATGATAAAAACGCAACATGGCACATGTACAATATACATATATGATACCTTATGTATATCATTTGAAGTCTTTTGTGTGAGTGCCTGCAAGGATGAACGAGCTTCAGCACTACGACTGCTGGCAATCTGTTTGTCTCTCGGTTCTTGTGTACCTACTAGCACAGACCTGCCAGTGCTGTTTTCTACTCTGTATCTCTGGCGTCCCTTATGCATTTGTTTTACAGAGACAGGGAGAAAAATATCCCTTTTTATCTGGCATTGTCTTTGCCCAGTCCTTGACATGTGTCTTTTTCTCTCTTTCAGGTAAACGTCAAGATTCACCTTACACTGCACAGGGAGCAAAAAAAGTGCTTTTTGGAGGAGAAAAACAAAGTTCTTTTGATGCTGATTTCTTTCCACTCAAAAAAAGCTTATAGAAAGAAGGGTGCAGAAAGACTGTGGAAAGATTCTTTTCTCCGCCTTAGCAGATCTCGATTGTCCTTGGGGAGAGGGTGGACTGCATGTCTGAAAGTGGAGTGGGGACTGGAGAGTTGTAGATGTTGGAGGCGACCGAGGACGGGAAGGAGGAGGCGACTTGTGACTGAAAGGTGCTGGACATGGACACCGACGGGTAGGTGGTGGCGACGGAAGGAGACGGGTAAGGGGTGTGGACAGGGGAGGAATAGCACGAAGTTACTGGAGAGGGGTAGGAGGACACTGGGGAGGGATAGGAGGTGATGGGAGAGGGATAACTGGAGGCGGGTGAGGCAGCCGAAACCGGCGCTGCCGTTACCGCCACAGCTCCCGCCTTGTCTGCTTTCTTGTCCTTCTGCCTTAGGTGGATCTTCGTGTGCCTTTTCCTCTCGTCGCTGCGAGCAAACTTGCGTCCGCAGATCTCACAGGCGAAGGGCTTCTCCCCGGTGTGCGTGCGGATGTGCGTTGTCAGGTGGTCGCTGCGGCTGAAGTTGCGCATGCAGATGCGGCACTGGAATGGCTTCTGACCTGTGTGAATGCGGATGTGACGCGTGAGCTCGTCGGATCGGGAGAAACGACGGTCGCAGGTCTCCACCGGGCAAGCGTAGGGCCTTTCATGGGGGGGCGTTTTGCTTGGCCGAATTGGATACTTGCGCATGCGGCTGGGTTTGATCAGCTGAGACTGGTAGACATTTTTCAAGTCCTGGGAACCAGTCTGGGTGGCAAAGGCCTTGATGGTGGACAGAGGGGTGAGAGAGGGCTGACTTGACTGACTCTGGAATGGCTTTTGGTCAGGGGGCACCAGGCTGATCTCCCCCTGCTGCTGTGGGAAGAGGTAATCGGGGATCATGGGCACGGGGAAGCTGGTGCTGCAGGTCTTGCTGTTAGGATAGGCGGGGGGTGGGTACTGCACCCCTCCGGTTGAGCTGGAAAAAGCCTGGCCCTGGTCTGGGAAGATGTCAGAGTTGGGGCTGGAGTATGTTGGGGCTGCTGAGTAGATGGGGTTGGGCTCACTGTGGTGAATTGAGGAGCTGAGGCTGGAGCTCTGAGATGAGGAGGAGGTAGAAGAGGAAGAAGTGGATGAAGATTGGACCGATGAAGAGGAGGACGAGGTGGTCTGCGAAGCGGCCGAGGAAGAGATGGAGCTGGGAGCAACATTGTTCATCAAACCTGTGAACAGCCCCAAAATGGGCTCTGCCCATAGGCTGTTGCTGCAGGTGGTGGCGGGTTCAAGGGTGAAGCGGCCAGTGTAGGAAATGGGGGGCAGCCTCTGGGTTTGGTATGTCTGCTCCACGCCCGGCTTCTCACAGCTGAAGGGGATATCAGGAAGCGTATCTGCAGGGAACACCAAGAAAGGAGAGACATTAATCAAACTGTCAATATGCAGAGAGCGGCAGGCAATCCTGCCACAGCCGTGGAGGACTGTGTCCCCCCTTCCTGCTCTGCCCCAATCTGACAGGTGCCCAGAAAAACCTTCAGCCAAACTCTTTTTCCTCAACCTAAAACTGTCTCCCTTCTCGCAACAAGCAGCTACACAAGCTATCTAGACGCACATTTGTCTCTGTTCTCACTTTCTCAATCCTTCTTCCTCCATTGCACAAGCGCACACATACACACACACCGATTCTCTAAAGCCTCTCAGAGCCAGAGGCAATTGATTACTGAAACTGCAGCTCAGCTGGTTTTAGGATTGCAATTTGAATTGAGCGGTATATATCTAGAAGCATGTGGTGAGTGAGCTGTGCAGGATTCTTTGGATACCACAGTAAGATAACAATAAAAGAAAAAACGTTTTTTTTATTAAGAATGCTATCAATTAAGAATAGATTCATTCATTTTATAGATAAATAGATTCATTGATTTTAAAACAAAAAATATATACAGTTACATATTTGTTTAAAATTTTGAATTATAATTATGGGAAATCCAGTAGTTAAAACTGTTTTTCATTTGATTGTTTTACTTTGTATTATCGCTCAGCAGAAATAAAGTTAAACATAACTGATGCAGCAGATAAAGAAAAAAGACAAACTATTTCTTACCTCCAGTGAGATGGTCATACTGCTCTCCTGGCTCTCCAGAGCCAAAGCCTGCACCCTCGGGTGCGGAGGCAGTGAGAAAGGGGGTCCCCGTAGTGCCGATCATCATCACCTCCTCCAGCTTTGGGTAGTTATCCATGGGGGAGTGAGGAAAGCTCAGTGGCTCTGAGATCTGAAGGGTCGGGAGGATCATCTCGGTCTTGGCTGCAGCCATCCTCGGCCGGTGCTGAGGCTGCAGGGCTGGGGCTGCGCTGGTGCGAGCAGGCTGGGGGTTCGCTGGAAGAGCCTCGCAGGGGGAGGAGATCACTCAGCCCTGCTCCGGGGAGCGCTCAACTCTTCTACTGATGCCGTGGAAGACACAGTTTTTTCTGCTGTCCTCCGTTTTTCTTGCCTCCCAGAGTTCGTGTTGGTTTCCTTTTCCTTTTAGAGATGAGAAAAATCCACTTGTTTTTTGTTTTTTTTTCAGAAAAAAAAAAAAAACTCAAATATCCTTCAAACTCATTCCCTAAGATAAATCAAAATTAATCAACAGATTAATTTTGACTTTAGTGTGGAATTACGTATCCAATCAGGTTTTAACCGTCTCGGATAAATTTTGTTTTGAGCTGACTTTTTACTTTTGTTGTGATTTTTCTCAGTGAGGGAGTTCTATGTGTGTGTGCCGATGTCTCGCTGTGGTAGCAGTTGTGGGCTCTCAGAGCTCTCTGAGCTGAGAGGTTTCCCTGCTACTTATATACCCTCTTGTTGTGACGTAGATGTCCATATTTGGAGTAGAGGAAGCCCATATTTAGGCACTGCAGTAGAGGACACATGACGGTGGCCAGAGGGAAAACGGATAGGAGAGACATTATATTAAGCGCCCGCCGTAAATTGCGAAGACAGCGTCGTTCTTTCTGCGCCCGAATCAATGTATCCTCATAGCCGAGTGTCTGGTTCAGACAGAAACATTATTCTTGCTCTCTCCCGGTCGCCCGAAAGACTTGATTCGGATTTCCCATAAGTGCAGCAGGCTGCGCCGCTGCCGGAAAGCAAGGCTCCGCCGTGCCTTATAAGGTCGTGACTACATAAGGACCTATTCCGGTGGGTTTCCATTTCCCTGTCCTTATTTGGAACTTCCTGAGGCAGCGCTATTTGGCAGTGAATGAGAATCTGGAGTGCAAATCATGTCCAGCGTTCACGGCACTTAATGCAAGCAACAGAGACTTTCTTGTCTCTTTTAGAGACAAATGTTCCGGGTTAACTGAAGGACTATCCATAAAAAAGAGTTTATTATGCGACTTAATTCAAATAAAAAAGATAAACGCGATAATTAAAACGAGTGTTTGATAAGCTATTCTATGGGTTTATTCATGATACAAATTCGCAATCCTGAAATAACCGTAGCAATTCGGGAGTTTAGATCTATGCTTAAAGTGTACCGATTCACAAATATGAGCCTGCAAAACTCTGCTGGGTGGTGGCAAACTTCCTCTAAATTAACTTTCCTTTCCTCTCCCTCGCCTGTGTCATTGATTAATGAGAGCAGAGAGCCGCGGATGCTGACGAGGTGCGGGGCGATCTGTCTAATTGAGGGGTGTCCCCGGCTCAATATTCAAGGAATCTCTCTGCCACTCAGCGGCCTAATGGGCCGCGTTAAGAACGCAGCGCGCAGCTGCCAGGACGCCTGCGGGATGCCGATGTTCCCCCGGCCGCCCCGGACCAACGCTGCTCTCTGGATGCTGACAAAAAAATCAATGTGCTCTCCTTGCTGCTGACTGGATCTATATGCAAGTAGCCTCATCGGGAAACATCGTGGGTAGGGATACTTTGTGGTGGTCCGAAAGAAAGAGAGACACAGAAAAATAGATGCTGCAATAGCTGAGAAAGATTCCGTTTCCCTGTTATGTGATCTGACAGACTCCCACTGATTACATGGCAAAACATTTTTTAGCCGGTCCTCATCTCTGCAAGTGTTGCTTCAACTACTAGAATGTAACATATTCAGATGGAACTAGATAGAAAGGTATTTATTTAAGAAGCTGGACTGGAACATTTTGCTAAATGGGAAAACAAATGATTAAGTACACAAAGGCTGCATTAGACTTTTGGTCTTCACTGGGTCGCATTCTCTCTCAGGCATTTCTTATTCAGCCTCCGGCAGATCCCTCTGTTTACCCCTATTAGACTGATAGCAAAATTCTTTCATATATTATGGATGATGTGGAGCAGAAGCTTGGTCACAAAAATCCAAATATGCCTGGAGAAGAGGGCGCAGCTGGAGAATGTGTAATATTGTTTATTCATACAGATACTTTACATATAAATGATCATATCTAATCTCTTTTGTAGATATGTGGCACTGGAATTTTGGGGGGAAAATATTGCTCCCACTGTTCACACAATTGAAGTTTCGTCAACATCGGTGCAACTCCTTCATGAAGCTGTAACTCGAAAAACAAGACCAAAGGACAGGGGAATATGAGGGTGAGTTACAAAAAAATTCCCCGTCCATGAGATGAGTTGATGAGCAAATTGTAAAGTCATGTCTGGATCCTGCTCTGCTGTCATACATCACATACAAAGCTCGATAAACTTGTGGAAAAGCAAAGAAGAAAAAGTAGAGAGCGCAGATGAGAGAACTCATCATCTGATGACAATGTAATAAAATCAGGTTAGGGAAAACTTGGGAAAGTAATAAAGTAATAAAGATGATAAACAGTTCACAGTGGCTGTTTGGGCCTCCCTCCACTCTGACGCATGAAGCGGGTGGAAGCCAGATGCTGTAAGGACAGGAGAAGGAGAATTAGTCTCTGTGTGGATGTAGATGTTTTTTTGTGTGTGATTGCATAATTATGAGTGCATGTGTTCGTTTCAGCAGGTTCGTTGTAGGTAGGAAAGTGTTCCCTGTTGCTGCCCACACAAACCAGCCAGAGGAATCCTCGCCTGATGAAACTCCGGCCCTATCGGCAAAGGAGAAAAAGGCTTTCCCATTACCTACACAGCCACCACGCCCCTGCTCAGACACACAAGCGCAGCCTGTAGGAGCACCAGTTAATATTTAATCATTGCCTAATCTGCGGAGAAAAGCTGAGGAAGTAGAGCCAAAAGCCAAAAAAAGATAGAGGGTGGCAGAGAGAAGAGGAGCTGAAACCAAACCGTAGAAGGTGAAGGCATAGAGAGCAAAGGCATGAAGTTGTGCAGATATCGAAGAATTTGAGGCAAGCTTAGAAAAAGAGATGAAGAAGGTGGGAAGGAAGGGTGAAAGTCAAGAGAAATAGAAATAGAAAGACCGAAAGAGAATCCTTACACCCACATATCATACGTGGGAGCAGATACCAAGCTCTGTGTTGGCATTTGTCAGCAGCCAGGCAGTCAGTCAGGGAGAGAGGACAGATATGAAGGCGAGCACTCCCGCTCCTCCTTCCCTCGCCCACACCGTCACCTACCATGCAGTAGTGCAATCCCTCCCCATTAGCATACAGGTGTGTTCAGCGGAGTCTGCTCCCATAGTAGACGGAGCAAGACAAGGAAGTAAGAGATGACAGTTACCAAAGCCAGGATGTTACATAATGAGGCATAAAGAGACTTGGTCATTTAAATACACCGAACACAACAATCAAAGGTTTATTCTAACAAGAACTGAGAGATGATATGATAAGATATGATAAGATATGATAAGACTTTTAAGCGTGTTGGATGTGTAAGGGCTTGTGTTTTACGTGGTGTGAGTTGATAATTAAATGGGAAAAGATCAGAGACCTGATAGTCTCGGGCAGAGTGACAGTCTGAGTATTTGCCCATAGTCATGTAGTGATAGAAAGAGCGGCAGGAAACATGATAGGAGGCTGTTTGCTAAATGTCATATTCTCCTATTTTTTAAAGTGATGCCAGCAGGGGTGTGCGACCTGACCTTTAACATGCAGCGTCTGATGCGTCTAGAAAAAGATGAACAGGCAGAAGAGGGATAAAATGTCTCAAAAACTCAAATGAAACAACTTGTTCTCACTCTCAAGCCCTCACCAAAGGATATCCAGTAAGGACCCTTTGTTGTCACTTTGTGGCTTATCGAAAACCCAACTACGGCCATTTTCAATATGCAGGGGAAGTATACATACCAGGGGGGAGGAGTCCTTCAACTTCTGGATTTGAGGCTTATAGACTTAAAGCAAATGCTGTGGACAGAAATAGTCATAGTAGTCACATGAATCTATGTAGGAAGCCAGAAAATAATGGTTCCCTGAGACACAGTTGTCCCTGTGAATGATTTTAGTGACCGGTAACTTTGAAGTCCCTTGTTCAAAGCCTGTATGTCAGCAGAATTACAGTTCAAGCTGGGTGTTAAAACCTAAGTGGATGTGACCTGGCATATGTACATATGTGATGTGAAAGGAGGTGGCAGAATATCTTGACTAAATGATATGCTTACTAATCTAAATACAAATGAAAATAAAACTGATCCTGTGAGATTCTGGTCTCTGAAAGGCATCATGTGCTATTTCAATCGGTGATATGTCTGAGCTGTAGTCTTCATAAACATTGGCTGAATTACTGAAATCAAACACAATCCATGACAAAACACTGCCGGAGATTACAGAACACCACCTGTTTCTGCTCTGAGGCACTCTAAAGCATTTTTCCACTCTTTTAAGGGGAGCTCAGGAATGCCACAGCAGATTGTTGGCCTTGTGTCAGTGGCTTGTGATTATCAGATCACAAGTTTTATTTTACTGCGGGAGCTGTAAAGCTTTAGGCCCCGGTGATGTGTGAAAAACAATCTGGACGCACCTCAGAGGCCCTGCCAGCATGCTTTCCTGTCATATTACCCACAGGCCAGAACCAGGGCTGGTGTTGGCTTTTCACATACAAACAGAGCACTGGCATCGGATAGCTGCTCTATCTGCTTATCTGCCTGCTTTTGCCTCCTGAAGATGTTAGGTGACACAGGGACAATTACCACGCACAAAGCCCACCGCAACCTGGCCCCATTTTGTCCCTGAGGATATGACTCACTGAGTCCGTGGCCTGTTTGTTTGATGCTTGCGACAAAAGGCCTGACCCCTGACCTTTCAGCTCCAGATGAGTCACCGGTACTGTAAAGCATGCTGGGAGATGGGGCTTCCCCACACCATGCAGCATTCACAGCACAGCAACAGCTAACATTTAAAGGTTGTCACAAAACACTTTTTGTGTTTGAACTTTGTCGCCACAATCCGTGGGTGATCTCATCATGTTGGAAAGCTGATTTGTACACAAACACATCAGCTCTGAGTTAATCATCTTCAGTGTTCAAGTATTTTCTGATTATGGGACCTTTGAAGCCAGTGCTTTGGCTTAGCTGATGAAATGAAAGATCGGTGACCACTGAGGCCACAGCTCAGACTAAAATCAATTCTAAAATGCTATTGAATTTCACCTGTCGAGATGAGTAAAAGCACCGGCTCTTCCGTTACTGACTGATGAGAGATAAGATTTAGTTCATCACACTTTGTTCAAACTGTACCTTAGAGAGACATTTAAGATACGAGCTTTTCCTGTGTGGAGCATCTACCACAAATATCTACAGCTTTTCCCTCTCGTTTCTTCTTACATGTCAGTTAAAGGCTGAAAAGTCCAATCTCTTACTTTTGAAACAGCAAAACAAACCTAAGTTCACTTTTAAAGCACTTCTCTTTCACTGGATTTATATGTCGGCCTACTGTACTTTATATTGGCCTTGTGACATTTTAT